TGCAGTTTCACTTCTTTTTTTTTTTTTTTAAGATTTTTTATGCTTATGGAACTGGGGTACAGGCCAGAGGGGCAGGGGCAGTGAGAGGCTTCACCAGAGACAGAGTGGAGAGCAGAACAGGCAGATTGATTAAGTACACTGCTGAGGGGAGCAGTGGGTGGATCAGGAGAGGTCTGCTGTGCCATGTGGACAACCTCCTGGGCCGGGGATTGAACTCACACTGAAGCAGCTGCCACTAGCTTGCAGTGCTGCGTTCTAACCTGCTGCGCCATCAGGGAGGGCCCAGTTTCACTTTTTAACCTTTGCGCATAGAGCTGTCCAGGCACATTTGTCAGAGATTAGTCTTTTTCCATTGAATTGTTCTAGCACTGATATCAAATTCATAAGTGCACATTTCCATTTCTTGACTCTTGATCCTTTCCCACTGATCTCTAACTGTATCTTATTCCAGCACCACAGACCTGAGTACTGTGCCTTTGGACTAGGTTTTGAAATCAGGAAGGGTGAGACCTCTAGTTTATTCTTTCAAGATAGTTTTGGTTAACTGGAATACCTTGAATTCCATATGAATCAAGGGAGTAACTTGTCAATTTTGGGGGAACAAAAGCCATCTGGATTTTGATTGGAATTGTGTGGAAGCTATAGATCAATTTGGAGAGTGTTGCCATGTTAGTCTTTCAATCCATGAATACATATTACTTTCCACAATTTCTAGTAACAATACTTTCTAGTTTTCAATATTCATGTCTTGTACGTCTTTTGTTCTTTATCCTTGATACAACTGCAAATGGAATTTATATTTTATTCTCTTCATTTTGCAGTTTTCATTGCTAGTGTATAGAGATATAATAAACTTTTATGTATATATTAACTTGCAGACTTACCGGGTCAGTTTATAAGTTCTGATAGCCTCTGTCATGGATTCCTTACAAACTAACGTCCTCTACAAATAGCTGGCCTCTGACCTCTTTCTATTTACTCTGAATAACTCTTACTCTTTTTCTTGCCTTGTAGCCCTAAATCAACCTTCACAGCAATCTTGAAGAGAAGTGGAAAAATCAGAGATCCTCACCTAGTTCCTGATCTGGAGAGAAAGACCTTCATTCTTTCATATTAAGTGTGATATTCATTGTAGTGGTTTTGTAAGTTCCTTTTTATCTAAGGAAGTTTCATTCTTCCCTATGTAGATGTTAATAGAAAATTCCCACAAATTATTTATTATTTAATTCTTACATATGGAGCTCCATTTGAGCCTGCAACCCTTTTGTGGATTGACTAAAATTTATCTGAATGAATATGCTGATTTGAACTGCAATTTACCTTTAAACAACATGGGATTGAACTACACAGGCCCACTTAAACACAAATTTTTGTGTGAATACATAATGTAAGCTGTGACTTTGCTAAATGTAGTACACAATTGTAAACGTATTTTCTCTTATGGTTTTCTTAAAAACATTTTCCCCTATTTTAAGAATACAGTTTATAATAGATAAAACATACAAAATATGTTATTTATTATGCTGTCACTAAGCCTTCCAGTCAGCAGCAAGCTTTGAGTAGTTTTGGGAGAGTCAAAAATTGTATGTGGGGTTTTGACTGTTCAGGGTTTGCCACACCTAAATCCCATGCTGTTTAAGGGTCAACAGTATATACAAACCACATTTTTAGTCTGTGCAATTCAAGACAGGGTTTTATTTTAATATTTTGGTTTTTCTTTTTTATTTCTTTAATACACAAAATGCAAAATAGTATTTATACAAAAGCCTTTGCAGAAATAAAAGTTAGAAAAGATGCTAGGGAAATTTACTAGGCTAATTTCTCAACCTGTGGTACTAAGGTCCTATCACAATGAAGAGTCAATAAAAAATTATTACAAATCTTAAGATTTACATTTAAGTGGGATTACATGGACATTACCTTATAGTAACTGTGGAAGCAATTTGATTGGTCATCATTAATAAGACTATTAGAGTGGGGAGAACCAGATCATGCTAACTTGAAGATGATATTGTATCATTTATTCCCCATTTTTGGATAGTAATAAATTAAAATAAATATCACATAATATTTAGTATATTGTAATATATAATATAATATTATATTAAATAATGTGATAATATAAAACTACCTTATTATTTATAGTCCCAATGCTATTGTAAGTGCATAGGGCATGTATAGTATATATTTGTTGCTAGATATTTGAAATGTCCTGTGAAATGTAAGAACATATTGGGAACAACTAAAACGTTCTGAATGAATGAATGACTCAATGAGTAAAAATAGTTAACAAGAAATTAGCACTAGATAACTTGCCATAATTTGGACAACTTTATTTGGAAAATAAATAGCTTTCTAACCAACCTGTTAATCTTCTTTTGCTATAAGTTACAAAAAGGAACCTCATAGTCACCATCTGAACACAAAGCTGTAGTTGTCTTGAATTTACTAATCTGAAAGTACTAGTAGAATTAGAACAGAAGCCATTCTCAAATAAAGTCATCTAAAAAGTGGAAAGTTTATTGGCCTTTGATCAAGATGAATACCTCTAGCTACTGATGTAATGAATATTTATAATTTTATTAGACCCAATTGCTTCAGGCTATAAACTTCAGTACTGAATTTCATCTTTAATTTTTATAGCTGAGAGAGAGATGCTTTTGAATATTTCATTCTTGAATAAAAAACATTAACATGTTCAATTCCATACTGCTGTCCTTATACTTTAACTTGTATGAAAATAAAGATTTATATATTTATTATTCCACTTTTTATCAAAACGATCTCCTTCATGTGGTATAGTTGACTTATTAAATCAACTTCCATAATCTATTACATATTGCTTTACAGATAATAAATTTGAAGTTAAACTGATTCTACATATAACCAACCCTTGTCAATTTCACACTGATGGATGGCAGTTTTCTGCCTCATGTCACAGACATATCCCAACATGCCTTATTCCTTCCATCATACACCAGCCATTGAAGGCAGGAAGTCCTGCATGGGTTTTTGTTGTGTTCTTTATTATTTGTTTAAACCTGCTATTTGTTTTATTTATATCTGTCTTCATGGCTGGGAAGAGCGCACAAGGATAGTTGTTCTAGCAATAAGGAGGGATCAGCTGGTGGGGCGGACAGGACCATGGCTCCACTGGCATACAGACTGCACCCGCCCTACACAAGGACAGCTTCAGGGGTTCTGATCCAAACTTGACATGATCAATTCTCACCTGCTCAAACCAAGGACAGTTGCTATCACAGAGGGGCACAGAGTAGCTCTGGCTGTCAGATAAAAAGGGGAGCCAATTTGCCATGCAGGTGCTTAAAAACAGTTCTAATATAGTTCAGCTGACAGTCAGGCTTGGAAATACATCTCATGGTCCTCTACTCTCTGTGATCTTTGAACTTCTAGGAATATCATAACTGCCTATACCTAAAAGTAAACTATTCTCAAGACTGAAAGCAGGAAAGCAATTTCTTTAAATTGCTTTTCCAGTTTTCTGCGGTTTCCTCTCCTACACCACTGTTTTAAATAGGACAGAAAATTGTGCTAATATCACAAACCTAAGAATGTAGAGCAACACATAGACAATTCATCCACAGTCATGCATTAGAGACTGGTATGCTCAACTCTACCCTGGACTATACACATCTCCCCACGCTCAATAGGCAACAACTGTTCTCATTTTAATCTCTGTGTTAACTGCTTTGGAGAATCACTAGAACAGTGATCATATATGAGGACCTATAGAGCAGGTAGCCTTTTGGTCAGAAAATCATCATTACTAGATTCTTTACCACTTTTAAGGCAAGATTGTAATGCAGAACCACCACCATAACCTGGAGCTGTTATTCACTGTGCTATGTTAAAACCATATCCTAAATGGTTTTAAATATTCTAAATACCCTAAAACAAAGAATTCTAATACCCTCCTGACTTGACTGATGGCCATTTTAGAACTGCATCATCTGAATCTGTTTTTGCATTCACAAGAACACCCTTGGGGAGCACTACTATTAGTACTATTTCCTATCTAAAAAGTAAGGAGTCATGGTTCTATTGCCCAGGTTTTCTTTGAAAGACATTATAGTTTCAATATTTACTCTCTGTCTCAACATACTTCAGACATTTCAGCCATAAGCCTAGCATTCTCAGGTTTCTGATGTTAGGTTAGGCAGATAAAATAAACAAACAATAAATGGTTGAAAAGATAATATGACTTAGGAAAATCAGAGCCAGCTAAGCATTAAGCAGGGGGCAGACATAATAGTGCTAGTACAAGAGGAAAACTCCCAATAACTTTTAAATAGCAATAAAATGCATAATTTATGTATGATCAAAAAGAAAAGATGCTTTCAAAGTTTAACTTTACTCCAATTTCATTGTTGGTGATGAGGGGGAAAATAAAGGCAAAAGAATTTGATACCTAAATAGAAGATTATTTTTTATTTTGGTGCTTTTATGGAGAGTGATTGCAGCTGGAAATATTATTTGTGGGATGTGTCCAGATTTTGCAAGAGCGATTGGGGGGCAATGAACAATTTCTACCTGTCCCACAGGCAAAACTCAACCCAGACATAGCACAAAGCTTATTCATTTGTTAAAAGAGAAGAATTTCTTCTTTTCTAGAATGGGAATCTAATTTTAATTATTAAATGATTTATACATTTGTACTTGTTTAGTATATAATTTGTGAACTTGATCATTTTGATTTTCATCTTTCCTGAATTATTAGGAAAAATTCCAACTTTCATTATGCTCGATTGCCCAGTGAGATGGTAACTTTAGAGAGTTTTTCAAGGTCTACCCTTCTCATCTGGCATGAACACTAACTCATGATTACACAAGCCCTCAGATAAGAATGCAGCTTCTACCTTATCACTCACTTGGGATGCCTGAGTATGACAAGGAGCTTCTTTTAACAAGACAAATTCTTCCTGTGTTTGCAAGTGACACCTCTGATTCCTGTCACAGGGTGGAAACACTCTTTCACTTACCTAAAATCGTTCCCAAAGTAAGGGTTTTGACAGCATTGAATTCCATCCCTGATGACAAGATGATTTGTGTTCTTGCATTCTGGTTAACCTGCATATGTTCAAAATGGCCACATTCAAATGGTGAGCAATTTTCATCCAGGAGAGAATGAAAATCAAAGAGAGATAAAAAAAAAAAAAAAATGATGAAAATAAGTCATACTTTAGTGCTATCAGAAAGGCTAAAGGAGAAAACTTTAATGAACAATTTTTACAATGCCTCAAAGTCCACTTACCCTATTATATATCCCCTTCCCTCTCTTTTGCTTCATAGTTTAGTTATCTCTAATTGGTGCAATCCACAAAGGATGCAATCTGCTATCTTAAATCTCGAAGTTTTTCAAAAGGAAATCTGTAACATGGTCAAAAATAGCATTTGTATAGATCTGATATGTAAAACATTAATACTATGATTTTTAAAAATCATAGTATTATGAATACTATGTAGTATAGTATAGTATTTTAAAAAAAATGTATCCCCTTTTTCAGTAACATCTTGCCTTTTTTCTTGTGGTAAAAATTTTGGGGCATTTGCTCTTTTGTAGTCTAGTGGGAATGGGCTTTCACTGGATTGTGATCAACAGTCACTAAGGTAAACTGGGCAACATTTCCCAAGTAACGTAAGGTAATGTAAGAATTTTAAGGGCACCTTCAAGTTTTAAATGATCAAATATTAATTATAAATTTGAAAGTCTCTTCCTAAACAAAATATCATGACTACATTTTCTTTCTTAATAAGACAGTGCTGAATGCTAATCTTTTATTAAAATTTACTCTTGAATTCTTGTTCTGGGACACACCTTTTGTGAGCCAATTCCTGTTGCTGTTGAACTGAGCAACTTACCTCCACATCTACCATCGCTGCTTCTCTGCTAATCTTCACCTGGTGAAGCTGCCCATCAGCCATGTTTTTAAAACCAAGGTTACACACATCAGGCTCTTGGTGTCTGTCCAGCTTATACCTGATCTGTAAGCTTCCTACGGAACAAAGAAAATGTCATTTTAACTAAAGTACAGTTTTATATAAATTGCCAGTACAGGTCCAAAGCACATTTTATTTTAATTTATTTGATACAAGTGAACCTATTGAATATTTTCTCATGTGCATCCATAGTCATTATGTGGTATGCCAGGGCCAATTTCAGAGTTTAACTGCTCTATTTTATTTATTTATTTATTTATTTTAAAGATTTATATATTTGTGCATACAGAACTGAGGTACAGGTTAGAGGTGCAGGTGTAGTGAGAGGATTCACCAGACACAGAGTGGGGAGCAGAACAGGCAGATCGACAAAGTACACTGCTGAGGGGAGCAGCTGGCGGGTCAGGAGAGGTCTGCTGCGCCATGTAGTCACCTCCGGGATGGGTTCAAACTCATGCTGAAGTGGCTTTAGCTTCTCAGTGCTGTGCTCCAACCTGCTGCGCCACCATGGAGGGCCTACTCTATTTTAAAAGTCAAGACCAAGTGGTCTCTTTTCAAGTTCTTCTGTTTTCTCTAAAGAAAATAGTTAAAGTTAAGCTTATGAGCACTCTGAGCAAGGCTCTAAGATAATTCATGCTATTAAATAGTTAAGCACCAGTAGAGTTACATTAACATTCAGTTCCCACAAGCACAACTTCTTACAATGTGACTTATTTTAATGCATTTTAAATGATTCTGACATTTACATAATTAATTTTGTGTACTATGCTTAGATGTTTCTAATGTTTCATCCATAATCAAGAAATGAGGTATCCTGTTTCACACACACCTCCTTTACAGGTGCACCTCTGTCTCTTAACCTTGTCACCTACAGAGCCTACTGGTCAGAAACTGTTGAAAACTTTTCTAGATGCTTTTTTTCTCCCTTCTTCTCCAAGGTTAAAGATAGGGCTTGTTCTTCAGCTGGGAGAGCCTTGGAAAGGGTTTGGTAACTCATCCTGCTTTGTTTTTATTTATGCATACAGAACTGCGGTACAGGCCAGAGGTGCAGGGGTGGTGAGAGGATTCACCAGAGACAGAGGAGGGGAGTAGAAGAGGCTGATTACAGAGTACACTGCCGAGGGGAGCAGTAAGTGAGCCAGGAGTGGTCTATTGCACCATGTGGGTCACCTCCCCAGCCAGGGATGACAAAGGTGCTGAAGCAGCTTTGTATCACTGCACTTTTAATCCATTGCATCACCAGAAAGGGTCCTCATCCTGCATTTTTTTAAATGTAGTTATGACATAGATGACCTTTCAATGATAAAGAAAAATCACATTCATCAGATGTTATCAATATTGGGTTTTATGTCACTTAATGTACTTCTTCACATTGCTGAGAAGTGGAAGTTAGTATTTTATGAGTACAAAATATCTTACTTCAAAATGATCTGCAAAACTAATCTGGATTATTCATGTACAGAAGGAAAAGCCTCCTGGTAATAACAACACAGTTTCACATCAAATGCATAAACTGATCAAAGTTTTATGGGGAAAAAGCATCTTATTTTAATCATTGAGATGTTAACATTAGTGATAAATATTTGGGGCTATAATACAAAATAAAATAACCCTATAAAAAGAAAGCTGCAGAACATACAATTGTGTTTCCTTGTTTGTATATTAACACTGAAAGGGCACACCTCCTTATGATTGTAATTTTTTAATTCAGTTTTGTTCTCACATTAGAGACACTTACCATTGGGGGCAAGGATAACAGAGAGATATTCCTCAGAGAAGGAGCTTACATACAGCAGTAAACTGGGAGCTCCTGCGGTTCGGAAACTCAGTGTGGTGATTTCTCTGGTCAGTGTCAGATTCTCATGAAATAAAGCTGCCAAGGAGCTGGAGTTCTTACTCAAGGTGTGATTATAATGTTCTTGAAAATTGTAGATAACTGATGAGCCAGTTCCAAAATATGCAGAAATTTCTGGAATGCCACAAATGTTTGTTATGTCTACAATATGTAAGAGCAAGGGTCTTGCTTTCTGTGTATTTAAAGAATATCTCTAATCCTTAAGTATTCCAAGAGATAAAGAAATAATGACATGCTTCTCAGGTGTTTTCTTTTACTTTAAAAACTGTTAGTGGCAATTATAAATTGGTGCAGTCAGTATGGAAAAGCATGAAGATTCCTTTAAAAAGTAAGACTAAAACGACATATAAACCAGCTAATCCACTGCTGTATTTTCATCTGAAGATTATGAACACTAATGAGAATATGAACCCAAAGAGATTTATGTACGTACATGTTCAATACAGAATTATTCATTATAGCTAAGAGATGGAAACGACCTATCCGCCTATGTTTGGATGTGTGGATAAAGAACAATAGTATTCCACTCAACTATAGAAAAAAATAATGACATGATAAAGTTCTGTGATTGGAACTAACAAAGGGACCTAAAAAGTATTATGCTAGGTAAAACATGTCAGATGGAGAAAGATGAGTACCACGAGACTTCTCTAACAAAACAAGTGAAGGAATAAAACCACACAAAAACAAACCTAAGACTACAACAGCAAAATAATGGCTACCAGAAAGACAGAGGGGATGTGTAAAAGGTGTAAATTATATGGTGATGGAAAGAAATTAGAATTTGGTAATGAGCAAAATGTAGTATATTAAGATGCTGACATACAAGCCTGTATTCTGAACACCTGAGACACAATATGTTATAAACCAATGCTATGTCAATAAAAAAGATTTAAAATATGCTAATCATGATTTTGATAATGAAACCCTTCATATTCCCAAACCCAGAACTGAATAATAAAATAGCATTGCCCCCCAAATGCTTCATCTTAAAATTATATACAATTAGATGTCCAGTGTAAATGTGTAGTTGAGGTTACTGCTCCCTTGTGGCGGGGGTTGGACGAAGGGGCCTTTAAAACAGCCAGAGAGGAAAGGTCCTTTCTCTGCTATAAGCAGTCATGGGCATCTGAAGAAGAGAATCATTGTCTCCTCCCAAGTAAATACGGGAATGAGGAACAGAAACAACCCTACTTCCGGTCATTACAGAAATTGCCTTATCCGTTGGTGAGTGCGTCTTGTGTCAAGGATGTTCTCCTAGTTTGTTTCCCACCCTTCCTGGACCCTTCTGGAATCACTCACCCTCTGTGCAGAAGGGCCCGTCGTAGGCGGAGAAGGCGCAGTCACAGGAAAACCCCCTGTTCTTCTCTCTGCATTGCCCGCCGTTGCGGCACAGGTGGCCATAGCTGCGGCAATGTCCCGGGCAACCTGGTTCCACTCCCGGTGTCATCGTTGCTCTTTCTTCCAGGTCCAGGGCCAACCCATTCAACTGTAGGGACCGAATGCACCCCAGGAAACCTCTCTGTCTGGTTGCGGTGCCACCTGCAAGGCAGACACCACAAATGCGCACATCTTCCGCCTGCCCAACACGTTTTCCTCCATGCGGCAAAGTGAGGGCACATGGACAATGCCAAAAAATAACCCTTGGAACATTTTTTTTTTTAAGATTTATTTACTTACGCATACAGAACTGGGGTACAGGCCAGAGGTGCAGGGGTGGTGAGAGGATTCATCAGAGACAGAGTGGGGAGCAGAACAGGCCGACTGAGAAGTACACTGCTGACGGGAGCAGCGGGCTGGTCAGGAGAAGCCTGCTGCGCCATGTGGGTCAGCTCCATGTAGGGGGATCGAACTCCCACTGAAAGGGCAGCAGCTTGCCTGTGGTGCTGTACCCTAACCCGTTGTGCCACCAGAGAGGGCCCAATCCTTGGAACATTTTATACACCAATAGGATTTTGAAAACAAGAATTGTGATCACATGCTAGGCATCATCAAACCAGATTGGGTAAATCACTCAGGAAATATTTTTTAAAGTTGAACTTAATATTCTTTTTAAAAATAATTAAAGTTACATTTTGAAATATTTTTACATTTGTTCTTTTCTAAGGAACAAAATGGCTCTTTTTAAAGTGTTAAAATGATATAACAAAGTTTACATAGTTGAAAGTTTTTGTAATATGTTGATATGCATTACAAATGTTTGACATGCAAGTTTTTACAATATATAAAATAGGAACTTGTTTATATATATGTATTTGTGTATTATATATTTTTGAATTTGTGTACATATAGTACAAATTCTCACTTAGAAAAGCTCTCAATAGTAAAGCTGTGGAAAGTAACTGAGGAGGTTAAGAAGAGGGAGATAGGGTGAAGCCTGTGTTGAGGGTTTCAGGGCTGCCTTCACTGTACACATGGCTCTGAGGTTAGATGGTATAACCTTAACTGACTAATTTATACCTCCTTAGTTTTCATGATGTTGCATGTGAGCCTACGGTAATGGTCTTACATGTGGAGACTCACAAGTCACTTGGTTTAAAAGATTACTTAAAACATAAAGTTGGGAGCTCACTGCAGGGGTTCTGATTCACTGAGCCTGGGTGAGGATCCCCAAATCTGAATAGCAAGTAGATTCTCAGACTTTAGAAATATAACCTTAGTTAGAAAGCTAATTCTATGTAAGTTTCCATGAAAATTTTATTTCATTAGAAACTCCATTAATTTATATTCACGATTATAAATCATGAAATAAAGTTGTTTCATTTGATAATTTGATGATTTAACACAGAAGTATACTGTGGTTGAAGCTGAGTTTTATGATACCATAGATAGTGTACACACACACACACACACACACACACAGAATATGAATTCACTGCACAGTATAAACTCCAACAAGCTATAGGTATAATCTGATTATGGCAAAGTGGACTGTGTGCTAATTTGTGATTTACATCAGATTTTACCTGTATGGTGTCCTAATTTATTTTCAAGTATATGACAAATGAGCAAGTGAAAGTTATTTCCTCAGTTTTCTTAGTTTCCAAATTAAAAACTGAAGGTAATATAACACAACTCATTTTTCCCTTTGGGAAAAATCTAACAATGACAAAACAATAAGCAAGAAAACAAAAGGGAAACATTTCACCACCTGGAACTTTAATCTTTAAAGAATGTATGTGAGAATAAAGGATCCAGGCCAGATATTGAACTGCATGCACTGATTTTGCAGTGGGAAGGGAGAGAGAATCCCTGCTCTAGTCTGCTCAAAGTCCCACTGTACCCAGCCATACAGGGAATCTGTGCCAAACTGGCTCCCTACTGTCTGTTTTTGAGGGCGCACTGGAGAATTCTGTCCCAATTACACAGAGGGTCCTTTAATTTCCCTGAAAAAGGACTGGGGAAAATAAACACAAATTTTATTCATAATTGTTTCATAAATAGTATCAATTAAAAGTAACTGAAACAAACACACACTGTCTATGGTATCAGTATCCATAGGCAAGCGTGGAAATCAGTCCAAGAGTTAGAAGTCCAACTTGGGGTTGAATTTGAATTCTGGCTGGATATCTGTAGTGAAGTCATTTTCACTTCCCGAGCCTTCACTGTCTCATCTGTGACTTGTACGATAATCTACAGAAACAGATACTACATACTACATGGAGCTCTGGGGACCTGGTGCCCAGAGTAGTTGTTTACAATTTCAGTTGTGACATTTTTTATGGCTATAATTTTTCCTTGGCCCTTCTCATTATTCCCAGCACAGCCTAGTAATAAGCTGGCAGCAACTCACCCACAAAGAGCTGGCTGTTGAGCTGCAAGCGAGCGTGCCCGTCAGCAGGGGCCCTTTGGGTCTTTACAGGGAGCTGATCCACTTGAAGAGATGCTTCCTTAATGTTCCGCTCTGCCCTCACATGGTGCCACTGATTGTCGTTAAAGGGAGTGGGGGACTGCACCGTGACCTCACAAGGTCCATTCCCCACGTCAAAGGAGAAGGTCACCTGGGAGGGAGCTGGGGATATAGGTAAGAGAATTGCACAAGTATTCTCATGGGAGAAAATTCAGTCATGAATAGATACGATGAAATTACTATTTACATGCTCATTATAAAAGGACGCTTTAACACGGGTGCAGGCAAATGTCAGTCTGAGTTGAGTAGGGAGTACAATATTAATCTGTATCCTTGAGGAAGAAAGCAAATCCGGGTTTAATATACTCCTGCTCAGAGTTTGCTATTCATTTTGCTGAGCCCCAAGTAGTGGAGATATTTATCTTTAGAATGAAAACTTGCATGTTATCTGTCTTCATATGTCTAACTGCGTTTATTTAAAGGTGATGTAAGGCCATCCCTGGTGGCACAACAAGGTTAAAGAGCTGCACTATGAAGCTTGTTGAAACCATTACAGCACCAGTTTGGTCCCAGAATGACCCATATGGTGTGGCAGACCTCTCCTGACTCGCCTGCTGCTCCCCTCAGCAGTGTATTTCACTTGTCTGCCTGTTCTGTCCCCTGCTGTGTCTCTGGTGAATCCTCTCATCCCAATGCCCCTGGCCTGTACCCCAGTTCTGGTATGCATAAATGAATAAATCTTTAAAAAAAGGGATTTAGATATTCATACAGTTACAAAAGCACTATGTGAAATCTTGATAATACAACTTTAAACTTTGTTTATATGAAAAAAAGTGACTAGTAGGTTAAATAAAATCATGTTTTAATTTAGAAAGGAGGTATTTGATCAGTTTAGTTTAATAGTCTGATTATATACTAATTGAAGGTAGCTCAAAACTTTCAGAGACTGTTGTGTGATCCATGAACCATTGTTTTCCTCCATTAAATGTGACTATTTAAAATAATAAAATTTGAGACTCTCTGCTCATTCCAGTTCAATAGAAGTCACTTCTTGTACTTTATTGTCAGCTGTATCCCTGAGATATGATGGTGAAGGTCTGAGTAAAGGGATTTGGAGATACTGGTTCCTGGTCACCGAGGCTGCTTTTAATTCTGATAAAGTAAATATTGTTTCCATCAACAGCCCCTTCACTGACCTTAACTATATGTTCCAGTGTGATTCTATTCAATGCAAATTCATTGGCACTGTCAAGGGTAAGAATAGAAAGCTCTTCATCAATGGGAAACTCCTTCCATCTTCCAGGAGTGATAGCCCACTGACAACAGGGTGATGCTGGTGCTAAGTATGTTGTGGAGTTCACTCTGTGTTCACTATTTTGGAGAAGGCCAGAGCTCACAAAAGGTAGGGCCAAGGTGACTTTCTCTACCACTTCTGCTATGTTCTGTATTTGTGATGGGGATGAACTATGAGGACAGCAATGGCATCAAGAGTGTGCACAATGCCTACCACATCATCAGCTGCTTGTTTCCCCGACCAATGTCATCAATGATGACTTTGACAATGTGGAGGGATTCATGACCACACTTGATGACATCACTTACCCCCAAAAGGCCATGGAATGCCCTTGTGGGAGTTGTAATGTGATGTCCAAGAGGATGCCCGGAATCCTAGTTCTTGCTTTGACTGGTATGCCCAAGGCTGCAGTCCTTGGCCAAGGCCATTCTTTATTTTTTTTAAAGATTTATTTATTTATGCATACAAAAACTGGAGTACAGGCTGGAGGCACATGGGTGAGAGGACTCACCAGAGACAGAATGGGGAGCAGACAGGCAGATCGAGTGAAATACATTGTTGAGGGGAGCAGTGGGTGGGTCAGGAGAGGTCTGCTACCCCATGTGGGTCAGGTCCCTGGCTGGGGATTGCAGATAGCTTGTGTAATCTGCAGTGGCTATAGATAGCTTCAAAGAAATGCTCTTTAACCTGCTGTGCCACCAGGAAGGGCCTAGGCCATTCTTGAGCTTACTGATATGGCCTTTTGTGTCCCTACTTAAACATGATAGTGGTGGATCTGAACTGCTACCTGGAGAAAGTTGTCAAATACAGTGACATCAAGAAGGTGGTAAAACAGCATCACAGGATCCCTCAAGGATAACTTGGTTACACTGAGTACCAGCTACTCAACAGTGACACCTACTGCACCACCTTCAATACTGGGGCTGGTATTGCAGTCAACAACCAGTTTATCAAGTTCACTTCTGGTGTGCCATAGATTTGGCTACAGCAAGTAGTGGAGGATCTTATAATCCACAGGGCCTCCAAGAAATTCAGAGTCCTTCGGATCAGTGAGAGTACAAGAGGAAGTATGAAAGAACGTAAGAGACTCCTCAGCTGCAGTGAAGTCCTTCCCTCAGGTAAGACAACATAGGAAATCTCCTGACCCCATCACATTTTTATGCCAGGCACCCTGAAGAAGAGGAGGGCCTTAGGGACCCTTAACTTCCTAACTCATGTGCCATCAATAAAGCATACTGTAGTCAGGGGAAAAATAATTGCACTATTTAATAAAGAAATACAACTGGCAACGGAATCATATCAATGTTAGGTCACCATGGGGATTATTGAGTGACTCACAGTGCAATTCCAGTCTGATGAAGTCTGTGATCCCCAGATTCTCTACAAACACCCCAGAAGGTGCAGTTGTCTTAAAAAAGAAGGATACATCAGCACTAAGCTCTCCATGGAACGTTGGAAAATGAAGGTATGAAGTTTCGGTATTGAAGGAAGCTGAATTCCAAAATAAATCTATTTCCAAAAAGAAAAAAACAATAGTGAAAACAATGAAACAAAATTAATAACAATTACATTTTATATTCCTAGTTTTTTTTTTTTTTACATTAAATGCATTAAGTATCTGTTTAAGCCTTCATTTGTGGATTCTTCTGAACATGAAGTCAGGGTTAACTTTCAAACAGTGATTCCATACAGGATTAAGATTCTGGACATGGCTGCAACTGAGTGTATGGAGGTGTAAAAATGACCTTTTTTTTTTTTAAAAAAAAAGTAATCATAATAGAGAAAGTGACTGTTTGAGCTGTACAGCTATGTGAAATTTTAACAAATACATGTCTTTGTGCAACCATTAACAAAAGCAGGATAAAGAACAGTTCTATCATCTCCAACCTCCCTTACAGTCACACCCTCCTCCACCTGTAACCTCTGGCTACTGAAATTTAGTCTCTGTATTTTGCAAATGTCACAAAACTGGAGTTGTGTAGTACCTGACCTTTTGAGACTGCCTCTTTTCACCTCTTCCACATAAAGACTTTGAGATCCATTGAGGTTGTTTCATGTCTTCATTTCTGTTTACTGCTGTGTAGTGTCACATTATAGGATTATGTCAGTTTATTGTTCATATTTGAGGATACTAGGGTTGTTTCTAGATTCTTGCAATTACATGTAAAGCTGCTATAAACATTTGTGTACAGGTTGTGAATATGGGTTTTTATTTCTCTAGAGTAAATACTCAGAGATAGAAATCCTATGTCATATGGTAACTATGTTTCACCTTATAACACAGTATTAAAAAGGTAAGTTTTGCATTTTTATCTACTATATGTAAGTTATTCAACTGTTTATCTTCACCAACACTAAGTATTATTAGTATTTATTCTAGCACTTCAAATTGGTCTAAAGTAATTTCTTGCTGTGGCTTTAATTTGCTTTCCTTCAAAGATAAAACACTGATTATCCTTTTACATGCTTAATTCCAACTCATAACCTCTTTGGGGCAGAGTGTCTTTTCAATTTTTGTAGAACTTACACCTTTCCTATAGACAGATTGCCTTCTAATCTGTGAACACAGTACAAATATTATTTAGATAAAAAAGCTGTAAACTTCTTGTAAAAATGTTATTAACACTTTTATAGGAATAGCACTGAATATATAAATTGCTTTTGGTAGGATGGCCATTTTAATGATATTAATTCTTCCAATCCATGAGCAAGGTTCTCTTTCCATTTCTTTGTATCTTCTTCTATTTCTTTTAACAATATCTTATAATTTTCTTTGTAGAGATCCTTCACCTCTTTTGTTAGGTTTATTCCCAAATTTTTGATCTACTTTGTTTCAATCATAAAGGGAATGGTTTGTTTGATTTCTTCTTCTTTGGAGTGATTATTTGTATATAGGAAGGCTATAAATTTTTGTGTGTTGATTTTGTATCATATTACTTTACTAAACCGGTTTATTATTTTGATAAGTTTTTCCTGCGGAGTTTTGGGATTCTCCATGTATATTATCATGTCATCTGCAAACAATGACATTTTTTCAAAGAAATAGAAAAAAATACTGACCAAATTCATATGGAGCCACAAAAACCTCGAATAGACAAGGCTTTTCTGAATAAGAAGGGGATGGAGGTATCTGACACTACCAGACTTTAAACTGTACTATAAAGCCATAATTAATTAACATTGCATGGTACTGGAACAAGACCAGACATACAGACCAATGGAATTGAGTATATCCACAACATCATGGACAGACAATCTTTGACAAAGGAGCAAATAAAATGCAATGGAACTAAGAAAGTTTATTGAACAAATGCTGGGAAAGCTGGCTGCTACATGCAAAAAAATGAAGCGAGATTACTACCTCACACCATACATAAAAAACAACTCAAAATGGATTAAAGACCTAGACATTAGAACTAAAATCATAAAATATATAGAAGAAAATATTGGTGAAACACTACACAACATACACCTCAGTAACATCTTTAAAGATATATCACCCAATGCAAGGATAGTGAAAGAAAGGATAAACACCTGGGACTACATTAAATTCAAGAGCTTCTGTACAGCAAAAGAGACACTACATAAAACAGATATCACATTGACTGGGAGAAAATTATCTCACATAATACAAATGATAAAGGACTGATCACAAAGATATACATAGAGCTGATGAAACTCAACACATATAAAGTGAACAACCCCATCAAAAAATGGGTAGAAGAAGAGCTACAAAGACACTTCTCCAAAGAGGAAATGCAGATGGTCAATAGGCATATGAAAAAATGTTCAGCATCACTTGTACTAAGGGAGATGCAAATCAAAACCACAATGAGTTATCACCTCACACCACATTAAAAAAAAAAAAAGGCCCTCCCTGGTGGTGCAGCGGGTTAAAGCACTGCACTGAGAAGCTAAAGCCAAAAGCACTGCACTGAGAAGCTAAAGCCACTTCAGCATGAGTTCGATCCCTGCCTGCCCCAGAGGTGACCACATGGCGTGGCAGACCTCTCCTGACCTGCCCACTACTCCCCTCAGCAGTGTACTTGGTCAATCTACCTGTTCTGCTCCCTACTCTGTCTCTGGTGAGGCCTCTCGCCACCCCTGAGCCTCTGGCCTGTACCCCAGTTCTGTATGTACAAATAAATAAATCTTAAAAAAAAAAAGAAAAAAAACAAGCAACAATAAATGTTGGCGAGGGTGTGGAGAAAAAGGAACTCTTCTACACTGCTGGTGGGAATGCAAACTGGTGCAACCACTATGGAAAGCTGTGTGGAAGTTTCTCAAGCTGCTAAAAATGGGAGCTTCCATATGTCTCAGCAATCCCACTCCTAGGCATCTACCCAAATGACACAAAAACACTGACTCAAAAGGACACCTGTACCCCCATGTTTATTGTTGCTCTATTCATAATAGGGAAGACATGGAATAATGCTTAGTGAAATAAGCCTCCTTCAGAGGTCTGGCTCTCATAGACCTCTTTGTTCTTAGTCACATGACTATCAATTATCACTTTGATATCAGTGGTCTCATATTTATTCCTAAACTCAGTTTCCCCAAAATTCCAAGGCAGCCTCTCTCTATTACCATGTGTCTGTCTGGAGATGACAGCTTCAGAAAATATAGAAAAGGCTTTAAAAGTAAAATTAAAGCATTCCCTGGGAGTTAGATGTTTCTATCCCTCCCTCCGGCAGAACAGAGGGCTTTTCTGGGAGTTTTACCATCTTTAACAGTGCTTGTATTGCAAATTCAGAGACACTAGATAAAAGGTTAAATGGTGAATTCTGGATGTTCTTCCCTTCTACTGTTACCTTTCAGAACCCTGAGAAAACTTGCATGCATTCTCTCAGGTCATATAGGTGAATTTAGCAGGAGGAATAGGGTAGGGTTTATTTATTTAACTTGCCCAGAAACAGAACTGTGGGCTGCATTTTTATGTTATGTGTGAGAAAACCAATTTTGATACTATAATATTGGCCTCTTAAGAAAATGCTCAAGCAGGTGTTTTATAAGTGGTCCACAATAGGTTTTTTCCCCAAAGTGTCACTTTGGTATGTGCAACTAAAGTCAACTGAAGTCTTGGAAGTCTCTGGAGAAGCTATTATTATTACCTTAGAGAATTCAGGTTACTTAGATTAAAGATAATCACCAAACAATAAACTTTTTATTAGTAAAACCTACCAATCTAAGATAGTGCAAGCACCTAGACACAAGGTTTGATTATAAGAAATCATCCTCTTCTTGTTGTGAGAACCCATCTTTTCTACTTGGTAACCCTAACCTCAAGTCCATTCCTTAGCACAGAACATACATAACTTCCCAGTTTATCCCATTTACTTTATAATTTAAACTCATATATCTTTTTCATATGCATGAAATTAAATTAATCTTTTCTTTCACTAATTTGATGTTAATATGCTTGCTCATCTAGGACAAGAAGAACCCAAAAGAGGCTTGGGGGATTTCCCATTACCTCTTCTCCCCCTTCTCCCCTAGTGCCCTATAATATACTCTCTTCAATCAAGGTGAGATAATATGGTCTCCTATATTTAGAGTATCCACCACTCAATTCTTATTTTTTTTTTTCAATAGCAAGTGTTAGAAACACTGGAATTTTCTCATGTAACATCTCACATAGGCTTCAGGCCTCTCTGAGGTCTTGCCATATATAAGGCAGCATAGTCACCATGGTCTTGGTGGACACTGCCCTTTGGCCTCTACTCTGACAGGCAAGCTATTGGACAGTAGTGGCAAAAGATGGATGTGACCTCATTTACTCCTCCTGACTGCTGGGTGAAGTGTCTGCTCAATGGGCAGAGGTAATAGCTCAGTTATGGGGTCATGGCAATAATCCAGACACAGGTACTAATAATCCAGACACAGGAGGGAGATTCGGATCCATTTTTGAAGTTGTCAACAATGAGACCATTGATAAATTAGTTAAGAGAGGAAAGAGAAGTTATCATTCCTGTAATTTTTTTCAGTCTCACAAGCAACAGAAGGAATGGCATTGCCACACACAGAGTTGGGAGTGCTGTCAGAAAAAATGGTTTCTGTTTACTATTTTCTATTTACCATACAAGTTGGATGAAATGTCCATTGTAACTCAAGCAGAGTACAGAATAACCAGTTGGATACTGGAGTTAGAATTTCAGGAAGATGAATAAACACGGGGACCACTGATATCAAAATGATATTGAAAGTCATGTGACTAAGAACAAAGAGGGGGAACAGCTGAGGAAGGAGGCTTGGGACACCCTAACATTATTGCAATGACAAGATGAAGGAAGACTGGGGAGGAGTAAAGGTAGAATTTTTGTTGTAATCGGTCACCAAGTGAAAACATTAAGAAAGAAATCCAGGTGCACTTGGATGGAAGTTAGACAATGTATAAACATTGTCTGTATAAATGTCTAAACATTCAGATCTAAGTAGGTACACTTGATGGCATCTCTCCTTGTTTTCTCATTATTGTTCCCACTTTAGGCATTGCAACTCAGCAAAGTGCCTTATACTGATGCATAGTAGATGTTCAGGGACCAAGGAATAGACTACTTCAGATGGTTCAGATAATTTTCCACATGGAATATAATTAGTCTTAGTTTTCTCAATCACAAATAAAAAAAATATAAGTGCATGCATGCCTAATGAAACCAAGATGATCAGAGCTCATGCATAAAGAGCACATTTCTCATAATGCATTGATATGTATTATCAGGGGCCAAAATAGTTCCTCTCGCAACTACTTACTGTCTCCCTGGCAAAGCAGAGGCCCCAGAGTGTACATTGCTTCAGCATGTGGTCGGCCTGTGTCTGTTGTCACAATCTGAGTGACCGGCAAATGCTCCTTATGGGAAAGCACTACTGTGTTGCTAGCCCTAGAAAACAAATAAAACATTGGGTATTACTTTGAGCAACATATAGACAAGCAATCATTTTTTTAGTGCAGTTCAGGAAGTATGCAGCTAAATTTGTAAATACACAGCAGTAGGGACATCAGAGGGTTCATCGGAGGGACAACTGAATGCTTACAAAGATAGAAATGTAATTAAAGGGGCTATCTGAAGACCAAAGATAACATGCACTGACGGGGGCACAAAGAAAGTGGGCGAACCCTGCTCTGTGGTCAGAGTGCAGACACAAGATTATATTTTCAATGCCACTGAGTAGTTTACTGCTCTTTCCAAGTCCGCCATTGTGTAACACATGCACAGCTGACACGCAAGTAAGAGCAACCTGCTTTTATGAAAACAAAAAGCACCTGACTGACAAGATTTAGGTTTAGGTTTTCAGTTCAGTTGAGGTTTCAGGTTCTAAAGTTTCAGAAATTCCTATTGTGATTATTAAGCATTTCCTCAGTTGTTGATGTTGGAGGTTTAAAAACAAAAACAGGCCCTCCCTGTTTTTGGAGCAGGTTGGAGCGCAGCACTGCAAGCAGGCAGTAGCCGCTTCAGTGCAAGTTTGATCCCTGGCCCCAGAGATCATCCATGTGGTGAGGTAAACCTCTCCTGACCCGCCCACTGCACCCCTCAGCAGTGTACTTCATTAGTCTGCCTGTTCTGCTCCACACTCTGTCTCTGGTGAATCCTCTCACTGCCCCTGTGCCTCTGGCCTGTACCCTAGTTCTGTATGCATAAATAAATAGTTAAAAAAAAAAACAGGAAAAAACCAGTTACTACTTCTAAACCAAGAAGAAGATGGGATACAATGTCCTGCCAAAATGAATGATGGGCTAATGCATGGGAAATTGCTTCTCAGTGAGTATCACCACCCACTCATTCCACATGCATTGCTCACAGACATGCCAGACCCTGTATGCTGGGGATGTGGACTTAAAAACCACCATTGATGTCCCCAGGACATCTAACAATACTGTAACAATAGCCAGAATATCATCATGTAACTGAATATTTGAGGATAAATAGTATCCATGGTTCCAATATAATTGAAATGGGAGGCAGGGAGCCTGGTGGTAAGCTGGATTTAACAGCAACATCTTGTCTGGACAAAGTAAGAAGATTTTGTTACACCTTATAAGCTTTTCATATTTTTCAGTTTTTACTCCAAATACCATAAGCACTTTTGATTATTGACAACTGGCTTGCCTAATTCGCCATTCTGATGTTTTGTATCTGTGTAGACCCTAGAGAGTTTTCAATTCTAACAATTACTGAGCCACCACTTACTCTTGCTTATAAAACCGGAAAAGTTTTAAAATTGCTGCTCTTGCAGGTCAAAAAATCAGCAATTTCTTATTGTCCAACCTAATAGTTTTATGGTA